CTGCTGTCTTGCAAATAGGTGACAATGAGTCTGGAACCCAGGCTGCTTCAGCTCACCGCTCCCTACGCCTCCCTGCTCCTGCCCTGGAAGCCAGCGTTCCATCCAGCTACTTCTGGCATGACTGCAGCTTGTACACTTCTCTCCTTGTCTCAACTGCAGGGAGGTAAAAGGCCAGGGTCAGCCAGCACACAGATTCTCCTTCACGGGTGTGTGCAGGGGGCCTCCTCTTGGGCTTTTCCTGCCTGGTGCTCTCTGGGGCTGGAAGAACTAGCATCCCTGGAAGCCCATGAGAACCTCAGTTTCAGGGCCACCCCATGCGCAGAGCTGCTGCAGCAGCATCCATATCGCCCAAGGACCCTCCGGCTGTCTGCCCACGATTTGAAGCTCAGGAGACACTCATCCCTCCTGACTCAGGAGGTGGGAACCAGCTCATCCAGTGCCTGGCGACCTCGGAGTATTTGTCACCATCTTTCACCTGGAAAATTATGCAATTACTCACATATCTACAGCTGGGGGTTGTGCTCTCCCAATTGTACCTGAGAAACTAAATTCCACACCTCGTGACATAGAAGAATCAGCAGAGAGCCATGGCCAAGGGTTCAAGGACCAGAGAAGAGGCTCCCACCCCGCAGGCTGCCACCACACCTGCAGCAGAAATCCTGGATCCTCATTAAAGGGGTGCAGTCGGGAACCCTACTGCTCCTCGCCTGGAGAAAGGGCCGCCGTGCCTCTAGCTGTGACACCTCACTCCAAGGCTCTTCTTTGAAAGCCAAATGCTGGAGCTGGCAGCAGCGAGCGTTTAGGAAGCGTGAGTCCAAACATACATGGGAGATGCATGCAGGCCTGCACTTCAGAGGAGGCTTGGGAAGTGCTGAGTACCCAGCCTGGAGCCCTGCCTGTCCCCAGGGAGGAAGGAGTTTGTTTTCTCCATGCCCACAAGCAGAGTGACGGGCAAAATCTTCTGTGGAGTCTGAGGTGCTGATGGGCAGACTTCAGACCCCACTGCGAGCTCTTCTCCCCTAGCCAGCAATCAAAAGGAAGAGTTGGGACACAGGGTGGGGGTTGGGCACGTTGTCTTTTCCCTGTAGAAAGGGCAGGGCACGTTGTCTTAAGTTTATCAAGTCTATAAGCACAATGACACTCTGAAAAAGAAATCTTTTCAAAAAAATTAATGCCCTGTCTTAGCAGTCCAAGTCTTCCTGAATGTCCAACCAATGCAGAAAGAAGCCAGGGCAGTTAAGGCCTCTGCAATTAGAAGCTGCCCTCGCTGAGGAGAGCCCCTGAGTGCAGGTAGCATCTAGGGCCAACACGTGCAGAAAGGGGAAAGGGCCAGTCAGCCAGGGTCGGATTCCTGCTTCCCAGGGCTTAGGGAGGAGGGCGAACATCCTTATTACTGATGGTATCCCACATATTGTTCCTTCAGGACTCTCCAATGAGAGTTTGCACACAGATGTCAGACCTCAAAAGGCATCTCTGGTCTATAAGCACTAAGGCAAAGAAAATTGACAACTAAAGGGACCAACATCAATGATTATAGTTACTTAGTGCCTGACAAGAAACTATGGCTAAAAGCAATTTAGAAAAAGTTCAGCAAAATGCATGAAGGATGCATAAGGCCACCATCTCATCTAGAGCCAAGTGAGTGGTAGGGACAGAGCATCCAGGGCCCAAAGTGGGGGGAACTCTCCCTCAAATCCCTGCCCCTCATGAGGTGAGGGTCCTGGCAGCAGCCACCACATCACTCCTCACTTTCTTCATCCCTCCAAATATAAAATCCTACCAGTACTGATTTTGCTACTACATCTATCTTGGCCAGTGCATAGGGGAAGGGGGTAAATATAACTAGTTCAGAATTTCAATAGGTTTTTCTCTCTCAGAATTGTTTCCTGTGAATTCAGAATTTCATTAGTATTCTAGGCCATGTACTGCCACTCACCTCCTATAAAAGAGGCACTCCAACCAGTTATACTTCTTTTTATCTATGTTTGTAAAATGGTCAACTCCCTGAAGCTATTTCAACTGCAGTCTTTGTACAGACAACAATTATTTAACAAAATTCACATTTGCTTTAATTGCTTTAAAAATGTGCACCGTGTGGGTGGGACTTGAAAATATGGGTGAATGTAGTAACCACAATGTTGCTCATGTGAAACCTTCATAAGATTGTATATCTATGATATCTCAATATAAAAAAGAAAAAGAAAAAATGTGTACACACACACACACACACACACACACACACACACACTGGTCATTCAATCCTTATTTAACCTTAGGGCACTCAAGTAATTAGTAGATTAACTTTACAGGCAAATCAAGCCTTGTTCATGCTTTCCAAGTACTTTAAAAATCTTAAGTCAATGAATGTTTTCTAAAGTATTACTGCCAGGAAAAAACATACAAACACATAGAAACATTTTATCATGTAGTTCCTGAAAAGATTTTTTAATTTTTTACAGAGTCTCAGGAAACTTTGCTGGTTTTGAGTCTTCTAGAAAGTAAGACTGTCTGAAGAAACTGCTGGAGGAGTTTAATATGGTTTGGGCAGTCGGTATGGACATACTAAAAGGCTACTATTCAAAGAAGAAACTACCCAGATCCTGTAACACACAAGGACTGCCTGGGATGTTGATACAAACCTGGCTTGGCCAGCAAGTTGCCTCCAAATTAGCTACGGAAACCACTCGTGTCCCCACTGGAAATGAACCTGCTGTGCAGAGAGAGATGTGACACACCTAAGTGTTCCAGGGTCTAGGCTGAATTTGGGAAACACCAAGGTGACTTCATGGTTAGAACCAAATGTTGAATAAATAACAATTGGCTCAAAAACACACTGAGCCTCTATTCTGCTCTTAAAATTATTAGACACTGTGGAGGAGAAATATAAATAAGATAGGCTTCATCCATATGTTAAATAAGAAATGTAAGAATTAAGAACAACCACTAAAAGGAAAGACTAGGACCTCAGAGAAAGAGCTTAAATGTGACCAGGAGTGGTCAAGGAAGGTTCTAGAGAAAAGGTAAGAACCAGAACTGAGCCGTGGTGAAGGGGATGATCCAGACATATGGGAAGGGATGGCATCCCAGGCAAGAGAACCCTGGAGAGTAATGGCTTGGCGGGGTCATCATACAATGCAATCAAGGTCACAAAACAAATCAGTTACAAATAAATGCTCAGCTCTCTCCAGATATTTACTGAGGCTGTCCTATGTCCTAGGGCCATTCACATTCTCATCATCCTGGTAATCATTCATATAAGCAAACTCGATGAGTGGACGTCATAACACTTCGCAACACTCGCTCTCTAGCAAAGAGAACGGGATCGATAGGGCAGTTGTTCCTGTGGCTCCAAGTCTGCAGAGGCAGCACTTCCTTTGCCTGAAGCAGCAAAATTCCTGGACCTGGGACATGACAGCATCTCTGGGCTCTATCCTAATGAGGGAAATGGGAGGAGGCACCCAAACAACACCCCAAAACAAAAAAGCTTTACTTCCTCAGAATGAGCAGCATCTGCTTTTCCTTGATGGCACTCAAAGTATTAGGGGGTTCAGAGCTAAGGTAAAGATGCCCTAGGTTGACACTGACTTACCCGCAGTTTCCCTCCAGCTAAATCCCACCTTAGTGGTTTGACTCTTTTAATTGAAATAAGTGATTTAAAACAGTGGGCCAGTGTATCCCAATAGTAAAAAGATGACACAAGCCTATCTGTGGGTTTGTCTGTTTGCTTTACTGTTCAATATTCACCACTGCATTTGCAGGATTTAAGTGACCACTTCCCTCTGGACAGGTATAATGAGTAAGCCATTCCCACACGGAACAGCTGTCCTGGCCAGCAAGTCAGCCGCAAGACTCTTTGAAAAGAGCATTAAGTTGTGTCCTTCATGGATTTAGATGGGAGAGATAGTGTTTCTATTCAACCAGCTGCTCTCCACAAAAGGAAGCCACACTAACTTCAGCAGGAAAAGTGTGCATTAAATTACTTCTGAAGCTCCCTGAAGATTAAGGCTTCTAGGCTTGGGATTGCATTACAATTTAGTAATAATGAAAGAGAAATCATTCCTTTTGATCAAATAATGCATTAATCCTGCCATACACTGTGCGTCCTTATTCACTCTCTGGTCATGTTGACTTTCTGAGGGAATTTTTCTCTCTCAGTCCACACAGCGAAAAGGAGAAGAGCGTGCACCCAGGAAGCCAATGGAAGGAAAATGCTTGGATGAGAATCAGTATTCACCACATCGTGAAGAATATCCAAGGTAGTTTTAATGAAAGGGCAAAGCTATTTCATAAGGTTCAGCAGATACAAAACATTTTCTATGGAAAAACCGCATCCCTCATGAGGCCCAAATTCAGGAGGCCTACTACCTGAGCAGGGCTAGGCTGCAGTTTATGAATCCTCTTTAGCACTTAAGACCAAGTTCACTAAGCAATTAGCAGTATATCGAGACTCTCCAGGGAGGCATTGGAGAACCAGTTTTTCAAGCACTTTAGAAGCATTTATATATACCTAACACGCCATTAATCATTCTTATCTGTTCATTAAGGCAGACTCCCTCAGGACCCCTACCTGCCAGCTCTTTCTCAGCCTGGTTCTTTGTATCTGCATACCTGAAAAGGAGCCCATCTCTTTTAAAACATTTTGTAATTAAAAGATTTCATTAATTCACAGGGGTGTGCTCCACCAACGAAAACTCTGCGTTTTCAGAGTTTTATTATATATATGAAAGACTATTCTCTTGAGGGTCTTCGCGTAAGACCAACCATGCAAGTGAGGCTTGCTTTTGGAATATACACTTTCAGCACTGGAGAGATTTGAGACCGTTATTTACAGTATAATATAAATCTGTCCATATCCACACATGTTGCTTCTTTCTGTCCCCACCAGAAAGGGGGAGTGGCTTTAGTTCACAATGCACTCTAACTGGTCTAAACTAAAGCTGGGGGAGGGAACCAAAAAGCAATCAGTTTTAAATGACACATTGGCAGTTACGTGACTTTACCTCTGCCTGCGACTCCCCCACACCCATGTTCAGTCCTCTGCTGGTTCCTGGGTCCATCCATCCCAGCACAGCTGGCAGCGAGGCCCCAAGCAGTGCAAGATGCAGCCAAAAGTATCCTGGCTTCATTTTGTTGAGTCTGTTGAGAAAATGAGAGATGCTCAGAATTAAGTTCTGCAAAATGTAAGCAAGTCAGACTGGGTCGTTGGTACCTGTACTCCGGAAGCAGACAAACCTTAGTTTAAGTCCTGGCACCAACTCCTCTGTTCTACTAGAGAGATGTTATACTACTTCTGAGGTTAAATTTACTCACCTCTAAAATGGGATCAATTATGTGTACTTCACAGGGTTGCTTCTAGGACTGAAGAAGTCAGTGTCAGCACATAGTAAGAACTTTGTCAATGCCAGCTGTAAGGTAGAGACCAACTTGAAATGCTACTTATTGCTACATATATACAAGAACAAACTAGGGTCAGGAAACTGGGTCATCCCGTTAGGTTACTATATATCTATGCTGCAGTTTCTTCAGAAAGCGTTTGGGACTGGGCACACAACTGGTAGCACTAGTAACACAAGTTAGTGTTACTACCCTGCCCTTTTATCATTCTTCCCAGCTTATCCATTCTCCATCAGTGCTCCTGGGTAAGCACACATATAAAAGTCCCTCTTATTTCCTTGTTCCTATCTTTGAGCCTGAATAAACTAAAAACAGAGAGGTAATAAAATCTTATTCTACTTAATGTACAGATGTCAATTCCTGGAGTAATGAAATATTCAGGACACGAAATCTACTATTTAGTTTTTAATTTACCTCGTAATCCCAGACCAATTACATCTGATGTTCTATTATTAATGGAGAGCATCAAAATAAAATCTACTCCTTTCAGTTCTTATTTTGCCAAGCTCCAAATCACTTCATTTAAGGAGGTGCATCCAGGCTTCTCCAGTTAAACCAGCTGTTTTGAGATTCCGGAAGCCCGGGCTCGAGTCCTGCTGCACTCAGAGCGTCTCTGGGTTTACCTCGTTCCTGGTGAGGTCCCTGCAAGCTTTTATTAAAGACAGGGGAACACATGAGCCAGGCCAATTACTCAAATATTCCTAAGCAGCTTCTTTGTAAAATTAGGTCAGCTTGGCCACCACCAGATCAGACTTGATTTGCAAGGTGGATGTGTCTTACATGTCATTTTATACTCATGATGATTGACAATTCATTACACCTATGGCAGCAATAGCCTAAAAATTTACAACTCAAGTTTCACGACAGTTTGGTTCATGGAAAAAGAATTAATACTGGGGCTAAATCAATTTTGATGATCTATCTAATAACCAAATAGAGACTATCGATTTGGTTAACACTTATATAGCAATTACTTTGGGTCGGCATCGTTCTAAACACTTCACAGGTGTGAACTAATAATCTTCATTTCTGCCCCATGAGGAGGGCAGTGATTATCCCCTAGTCAAATGACAGAGGGTCACAGAGAGGGTAAGTACCCTGCCAAGGACATGGGGCAAACAAGTGGGAGAGCCGGGGCTCCAAGCCAGGCAGGTGGACCTGGGGTCTGTGCTCTTAACCTCTATCCTGTCCTGCCTCTGGTAGCAGTGTTTTATTTCAATGAACAGTTGCTTTCAGTAAGATGGGAAAAATCTATGAGAGCAAGATAGACGGTCCTGAGCCCCAAATCTCTCCTTTCCTCTGAAAGCGGCCAAGAGCTAAGCTGCTCCAGCTTTCATGGCTCTGACCAAGGCCTGGGAAGCAGAGCAAGAGGAAAGAGACAAGCTGCCCCCACCCCTGCCCCCAACCCAGAATCGAGCTGCTGTGCACACTGTCCTCAGCCCTCCCTGCTGCTGTCTATTGATGGAATGTGGTTGAAAAAAGAAACCACGAGGAAAAACACAGAATGCCAGCAGCCAAGGATGCCCTCAGCTCACAGGCAGCCCCAGCTTGGTAAACTAATTACTTGGTGACTAATTACTCCTCAACTAGCCCTACTGGTCTTCAGACAGAAGGAAATATAAGAATCTCCCCATTATAGAAATGAGAAAATAACCATCAATAGGTCACAAATGCTCTTTTTCAACTCAGAGTTCCTTTTGAGATCAGTTTAGGTTTATCAGCTTCATTCAGTCCACACTAGGGTCCTAAGATTGACTGGGCATACTTGTTGATTCTCCCAAGGGAAGGTGAACAAGCACTGACTAAGTGTAAAAGGATTCTAACTCAAACCATAACTATAAAATATGATTCAGGTGGAGGTGAAGGAAAAAAATAACACTTAGAAGGGACTGCAAGAGATGAGTCTTTTGGCTATTAGTCTTTCAAGAAAAGTCTTAGTCATTTTCCTTCTGGGTTTGAATGGTATTGGGTAAATAATCAGATGAATCAGCTTGAACTTAATGCATTTAGCTTCCAGAACCCTGCCAATATGGATAGAAATTTTGGCCCACAGGGAGGCTGGTATCTTTTGGACATCTTAAAGCTATGTCTGAGTTAAACACAAAGTTAAGTCGATGTCCAAATTAATTGTGATTAATTGGATTAATGGGGACACTTCCTAAATTTAAACCCTTGGTTTCAAGTACACAACATAGTGATTCAACAGTTATATACATTATATATATGTTAGTTGTATCACTGACATGCCCACCATCAATGTGCAAGAATATTGGGGAAGTGCAAAAGAAATCTCTAACAAGACTACTTTCACTGAATTAGCAATACTGGGGACTGTATACAATGTTCCCACAAATATGGACAGTTAATTCATGCTATATATTGTAGATGTTTTGGTTCCGTGTTCTAACATCATTATTGAAGTATTTCATGCCTATTGAATGTAATTTTTCTTTTATTTTACATGAAACTATATAACCCAAAACCTACATCTGTTTTCTGGTTTTGCAAATATTATATTTCCAGACTGTATTATATGGTAAATTAGAAAAATATATTTAAAACAAAAGCTAAACTCAATGAACAGATCTTCTCAGGGATGGGAAATACGGTAACAATGTGGCCTCAAAACCCAGACCACACACACTTCAAAGATATTGACTTAAGACTTCAGCACAACACAAAGCATCCAATAGTCCAATGGATTTAAAATAGTTGAACAATAAGCTTCATTCAGTCCACGCTATGGACCTAACATTGGTTATAAATCTACCTGAGATTGTTCTCATAAAAGAGCTGGGACTACCTTTTCTTTCAAACAACTCATAAAACACAATCACTTGCTAGATAAGACATCCTGTTCCCAAGACAAGTACTTCACTGCTTCCTCCCAGGTTTCCCCCCGAGCCCCACTTTCCCCCACTTTTCCATGCTCAGGAGAATCAGGCACCAGCCTGGCTACTGCACACACAGGACACCAGAGGCCTGGAAGGAAGGGGAGCGTGTGGGGCTACGTCAGAGGCTACACTTAGACTAAAACCCAAGCAACCCGACCTCCAGGCAACTTTTGTTCCTTACGCTATCACATACTTACACGTGGAAAATGACTGCATTCTCTGTTTAGACTGATTTTGCTTTCTTAGTACTGGTTGGGCTCCACTAGATCATCTACCCCCTCCTTGTGGAAACTAGAGGATTTCTGGTTTTATAATATAAGCTGATATCTGAGCTATTATTTATTTGCCTTCAAAATTAGAGAGGTCCTACAAATTTGTGTAATGTAACATTCCAAATAGTGCCCTGCTTTTTGAAGAAAGTTGGAAAAATGTGTCATGAGCGTGCAAATGACATAGGTGTGCATATGTAAATTCCAAGCCTGCTCCCCCAGAGAACACTCACCAGCTTGGAAGTCTTTTCTGACAGGGTCAGAGGCCAGAGAGAAGCACTGACATCAGATTGACAGTGGGTTTAATACAAACTTCTCTTTTCTCTTTTGAGAACAAGGCCTGTTTGGCAAGAGTCAGATTTCTGACCCTCAGCACTTTTGGAGAGATTGTTCGCAGGTTCTCTATCTCAGCCTCTCACTCAGATACACAGTAACATTATCGAACCAGAAGTTATGGATTAGCCGCATGGAAATGGCTTCCCATTGTTACCCACAGGACCAGAAATTATGGAGACGATTTGGCAGAACCAAGCGACACCCTCTAGCCTTGAAGAGAACAGTCAGGTTTGTGACCCCAGGGCACCTGCATTTTGAGCCTTTCTAACTGAAAAGTGTTTTCTCTAGCCAATTACTTGACATGCATTGCATTTTACACATGGGCTGTTGGCAATCAACAAACAGAACCAACTGGAAACCATCCTGTTCTGTGTCTGCCTGATGTTAAAAGGGAAAAAAAGACCATATAAACCCTAACCTAAAACCAGGATGCTATATATTAATTTCTTCTGAAAGATTTAGGATCCTAGTTTTGATTTGTGAAGGTTTTTGGAAGAAAAGGGTTTAAACTAAGATAGTCCCTGAAATACCAACCCAGGGAAATAAGGCACAGAAATATATCAGGCTAACCCTGTGGATGTCCCATTAATTATCTATTCTATAGTGAATTGTTCCAACATTTGATAAATTATATGCCTAATTTAGTCTATGTGTAATGTATAAATCTACAACACTCTCATTTACCATGATGTGTATCACACACGCAAATGGCTTGCAGGAACCCTCACACTTCCAACATTTACATTATACCTCTTAAGTACCACGTTCCCTCAACTGCAATTCTCTTTTACCTGAAGTTCCATGCCATGTGTTAAGCATTGATAGAAAAATGTAAGGACAGATGTGCTCTTGAAATAACTACTTAATTTCATTAAGTGAGTAAGCACACAACTGACCACATATAAGCAACACAAAAAGGTTGAATTTGCAGAGAAATATCAAGAAAGGCAAAGTAGAAATTAAAATAGATTTTAGGAAATCCTGACTATTCAATGTCAGTCTCTAGAATATAGTGTTAAGTCAAAAGATCACAACATGAAGATCACTTCAACAACAATGAAAAATCCTGCATTTCCTAGAAGGAGAAGGGAAGAATCCTGAGTAATTGACAGGTCAAACAGGAAAAATCCCCACCCTCCCCCACCCCCAGGACACAAAGGGATAAAAGTTCTCCCAGTGCCCAGAAGAACAAGCTAGCCACACTCTGGAAGAAAAAGAGCCTTTCTAGACTTAACAAAAATTGATGGCAATCAAAAATTTTTGAGAGAAAAAGCCTCTGGAATGACTTCAATTAACAATTTTAATACATTAACAATATATAGAAACTATCTTCCTGCATGACCTTTGGCTCAGTCTGAAGTCTTTGGAGAGGGAGAGGTCTTTTCTTCCTAGCATGGTAAAAAGCTAACATTCAAAGGAGTATGTCTGAACAGAAATGGTCTAGTGATGCGGCAGTGTCTTCTCACAAAACCAAGACGGTAAGCAGACGTGGGCTCTGTGGGGCATCGGCTCACATCTCCCATTTGAGCTACTGCCTGAAGGCTGCTGGCGCTCTGGCATCCTATCACTCACATCATTCACCACCTGACCCGTTGCTTCTCGGGTGAGCGCCACCTGACCACTGCCCAGACAAGAGCCTGTCCTGCAAGCCAGAAAGGGTAAGCACAGAAACCAGCCCACTCCAGGATGAGGAGAGCGCTGTTAAAATTCACCTCCGACTTTCCCCTAAGCTTAGTGGTAGGAAAATAACTCGGGACTTTTTAAGAAGAGTCGGGATTTCTTCCCGATCCCTCACAGATGGTGATACAAGCTCACTCCCGGTGCACATTTCGGTTAACAGTTACCGTGCCGTCTGCTATTCAAATTCTGTTTCTGTTCAGCCCAGAGAACGTGGACAAATGTTTGTATCTCGGGGGCCTATCTAGTACAATTTCTGGTGCACAGGCTTGCAGCAAATTACGAAGCTACTGGCGCTGTTTTTCGCTCGCCGGAAACCTCGGCGGAAGCGACACCTAGAGGGGAGCGGTGGAGAGGCTGCGGAAGCGCTATTCATCAATGTCGGCGACAGTTATCTTGAGCTGGGTCTGCGGGATCGCGCACTGGGGACCGACTCTGCGCCACACACAGACCTAGCGGGGTCCAACTCCGCCGGCGCCAAAGACCTTTAGTGCGAGGCGCTGCACGGATGCTGCCCACATTCGGCGTATTATGAGAAACGCTACTCCTTCGGGAGGGTTTCTGTCCCTGCAAGAGTGGCAGGCGCTGAAGTCCTCAGGTGGCAGGCCGCGGGCGACTGCGCTGGGGGCTCCGCTTTGTCAGCTGGAGGAAGCCCCGAAGGGTGCTCTGCGCTCGCCCCTAAACTCAAGGAGACACGCACCCAAAGCTCAGTGCTCTGCCTGCACCGCCTAGGTCCCCCCAAAACTTGAAGCAGGTTTCCTTTGCAGGTGCGAAGCGGGATGGAGATCATCCACAGTACAAGCTCTCTAGGGACCACGCTCCCCGGCAGGACCAAGCCTGAACATCCCCCAAACTGCTTGGTAGTGAGTGACTCCCCGGCAGGTTACACCGCCCGACGGTTCGCTCGCTCAGAACAGCGACTAGCTGGGCCGAACGAGAGCCGCGGGCTACCGGGAGCCGGGGTGTGTGCGGGGTTCCTCCTCCCCAGCCTGCTCGGCCCCAGACTCGGTGGACCTTGGGGTGGGGGTGGGGAGGCCAGGCGAGCCTCAGCGGGCGCTTCGGGTTGCAACGCAAGTTTCCCTGCAAAGCTGCAGAAGGAGGTAGTGAGAACGCTTGCCCCACACCCAGCCCGGGGCCAAGGGCACGGGACCGCGCCGAGGGGCCGCCGCTCACCTAGTTGGCCGAGGCCTCTCCGGGTCCGGAGCCCAAGAGCAGCGCCTGCAGGCTGGGTCACGGAGGCCGGCTCCGGCTGCTGGCTCGGCCCGAGCGGTTCTGCTCCGCTCGTCAGCCGGGTCACTCAGGTCCCTAATGCAGACCCGGGCCACAAGCCTCGGCTCCCAGACTAATTTACCCCGCATCCTGGCCGAGCCCGGGTCTCGTGGCCCGTGCCTGCCGCCCGCCAGGCGGGCAAACTTGCTCCCCGGCGCGGGCGGGGAGGACGAACAGGAGCCCGCGCCGGGCCCTGAAGGGAGACGCGGGACCCCGGCGGAGCGCAGCGGGACGGGTTGGTGGAGGCGGCGGCGGCCGCTTGGCACCCTCCCCGCGCCCGCTCTGGAGCTGCGCCCGCGTACCTGCTACGACCTGGGCCGAGGGAAAGACCGGGTGGCTGGACTCGGGCGGGCGGTCGCAGAGCCCGTGGCGGCGGCGGCGACCCGGCCCGGCGTCCTCCGGCCGTTCTCCTCCGCGGTCAGCGACTCCCAGGCGCGCTGGAGCCTGTCTCGGCTCCGGCCCTCTGAGCCACAGCCGCCGCGGCCATCCTATTTCTGCCGCCGGGACCAGAGCCCGTGACGTCACCCCCAGGTCCCCGCCTGCCCGATAGCCGCCACCTGTGCGCGCTGTCCGCCAGCCTCCAGCTCAGGCCCATGAGGCGCCCGCGGTAGGTGCGCGGAGCAGGCGGGCGCGCACACGGTGCGCTAGGACTCCAGGCGCTGCAGGACGCTCTCTGCGCCCACGGCGCTTGGCGATGGCAGGAGCCGACCCCCTCCCACCCACTCCACCCACCGCCTCGCCCCCAACACACTACCCGTCTCCTCGCGTCTCTTTGCCGGGCGGGTTCTCCCCCCAAGGCTGTGCTCTCAAAATGGCTTAATCAGTGGCCATAGACTGTGGAGCCCAGGCTGTCCCTGTTGGCAAAGTCAAGCGACACCCACCCTCACTGAGAACCAGCAACGTGCAAAAAAGCAAAGTTTTTAAATCTCTCTTTCGCATCTATCCTCTCCAAACTGCAGAATCTTATGAAATCCTGTGCATACAGAGGCAGTCCAGGTGATAGCTGCTTAGCCTGGCCAAGCAGAGTCCCTTCTTCTCCTTTAGAACAAGACCTTTCACGGCCCTGGCTTCATCCCCAAGCCTGGGGCTCCCAGTCCTTTCTGCATCACTCTTCAACATCTACAACTTTTGGAGACACCCCACCCAGTGGCCATTATGCTTTTATTAATTGGCCTAGAGATCAGTCTTGGTGCCTAAATAAACTGGAAACACCTTCGTAACCACTAGGGCGCTCCAGATGGCCATTCTGTAGCCCAAGTCTGGCATCAACCTTAGGAAGGAGACCCTAGCCAGACCAGGCTGGTGGTAACTGATGAGCAGGAGACTTTCTGGGGCACTGCCTCCTGCTCTGTGTGGACACCAGGTAACTTCTGGGCACAGGGGAACAGTGTCTTGTGCCCTCTCCTGACCTAGAGGAGTGGACAGAGGGACTTTTCTGAGGATGTTTGGTAAAATATCAGGAGATGGGGAAGAATAGAAAGCTGACATGTAGGAAGAGGTATCTCCTGGCCTCCTAGGGGCTAGGCACTGTGCTAGGTGCTGGGGACACAGCAGCGGCTAGGCCAGCATAGTCCCCACCTTCACACAGAGTTTGGTCTGGGACCCAGCCCTCCCTCTACCACTGACCAGACTGTAACCCAGAGCCTGCCATGTCTCTGCCAGAGGTATCAGTTTCCCCATCTGTAAAATAAGGATTTAGGTAAGACCTGGGTGACTTCCAGGTCTCAGTCTGCTATGACTTCCCACATGGAAATCATGATTTGAGCTCAAAAGGATAAAGGCCACTCCATCCTCAGCTCCCCAGGGCCTCGGCAGGCATGATGTTCTCTCAGGTCGGACCATGAATCTTGCCAGGGCCATGCATGACTAATGTTCCAAAGCTGACTGAGGCCAGATTCTGTGCATCTGGGAGCAGAAGGGATGGTACTTCCATCTTGGAAAAAATAGAAGAAAGACTGGGCATAAAAGAAAGCAGTGAGGTTTGAAAATATGCTGTGCCCCCCTCTGACATTTAATTCTAAGTCCATAGTCAAGATGGAGGCCCACAGCTCAGAAGTTTAGCTCCCTTCCCACACTTTGGGGTGTTTGGAAAGTCAAATTTACATTGTCAGCTCTCAGCACGAAGTCCCTGAGTCAGCCTAGTGCCCGGTTACATAACCAAGGCAAGCCTCGGGGTGTGTGTTCTAATAACCCAGGGTCATATGTAAGTCAGGGTCTGCAAATTGACCAAGATCAGAAATAGCTTTGTTTAATGCAGTGAACAGGGCCTCGACTTCCACAAATTTACTCTGCTTCCCAAGGAAAGGGGGATATAGCTGCTGCAAACCAGATGTAAGGAATATCCCTTAGAGAAAATGCGAACATCTGAAGTGAGCTATTGTGACTACTGTGCATAAAATAAGAGTGGAATTAAAAGTCACCTTGGAATAAAAAAGGTGAAGTGTGAATGATGAAATGAAACAAGTCTTTGGGGAAGCAGCATCAGATGCTAGTAGGCCTTGACACCTCTTTGAATTGCTCTGTACTTTCACCTCTCAGGGCAATTCTTGGTTTAATAATACTCCCCAACTTGGAAAATAGGCTAGATTTCTCACAGAGAATTTCAGAATTTGCCTGAAACCCAGTTTCAGAACTTGTAAGCTTACTGATGATTCTCAGTAGCCAACTAGGATGCCTGGCCAAAAAAAAATTTGGATAAGTTTTATTTTCCTGCAATTCAGTAAGTTTGGAATGTACAAGTTAAAAGGAAACATAAATTCAGATTACTGCCCCCAGCCCCAACTCTAGGTTACTGGTGAGTGGTTTAGCCAGGCAGACTCAGAGACATACATAGGAAGTTATCTATGTAATTTTACATGATCAAAAACTTAAAAATCTCCCATATATATACATTTACTTTACTGGTTTTACAACTTGTTTCTGTTTTCTATTCTTACCAAAAACATGACCATTTGATCAAAAACTGCTGCCAAAGGATGTATCCTGCAGGTCATTTCAGAGTGCAGCTGCATATCAGGCTACCCAGAGATGGCACAGGGCCCTGGGGCCGGCGTGGTGGGGAGGGGGAAGGCAGAGCACCTCCTCCAGTCTCACTGTCCTTAGCTATGGGTCAGGCCCACCCTGGTCACACAGTGTCCAGAAATACCTGGTAGAAGCCAGGCTGGGAGAAGGTGGGAAGAGGCAGAAACCTGTCTTTCTTGTCAAACCCAATTTAACATTCCACGCCTGTCCAAAAAGTGTCCTAGTAAATCTTCCAACCAGACAGTGCAGTTGTCTGGGTCCCTCTGTGCCTGTGCCCTCTCTGACTGGCCGGGCCTGGATGAGCCCCACCCTTTCTGGGCCTCATTTCCTTGTGGCTCAGGTGGGAGTTGTGCATCGGTGCAGTGCCAGGCACTCATACGCAATGAACTTCTGAGGCCATCTTCGATTCTGCTTATATATGTCATTATTTTACCAGTCCTTCTAGGAATTAGGGCTACTGTGATCTAAAAAGAGCCATATTGTTAGAAGTCTCCTGTATGTCTAGTATTAATGCTGATTTCTTAAATGATTCATTTAGTCAACTAGCAATGAAGGGAATATAGGCAATAAGCTCAAAATCCTGGACCTAAAATCATACTCAGAAATAATTTTTTAACTGTGACTTTGGGGGAAAAGTAGCCAGCACGTAGGTAAGTAAGGTATTCATTCAGGAAATAATGGTGATTTGGGGAGTTTTTCACGGCCATGAAGAAGTGGAGTAGATTAGGAATTTTCATTAAGAAGCTGTGATGAATGAGGAGCTGCAGCGATGAAACAGGAATTGTGAATGGTTAAAGTGGAAAGAGATGAACAATAAAACCTTCCTGTGGTATTGCTCCAGAGACAGAAGTCCCATCCAGGGCCTAGACTGATGGCACCCGGGGCCTGAGAAAGGCACCGAACAGTGGGAGAAAATGCAGCTCAGCCACTCTCAGAATTCCATGTACACAGGGAGACTTTGGAATGAGAAGGCCAGGCCTCCACACCGTCTTACTGGGGCTGGGGGTGCCATGAAAGAGGGCAAAAGGGAGGAGGAAAGCCAAGGGAGGGGCCAAACTCTTCTTTTTCCCATGAGTTGTCCTCCAACCCACCTGTATAGAGTGGTAAATAACAGGACAATTTAAAAAAAGAACAAAGAGGCAAGCATCTGCCTTAGGGAGACTCCATTCCTGTGCATGTATGCTCCACTCAAACGAATGTGCGATTCTGTGGGTCGAATACCGTGGCAGAGCAACTTAAGAGTTATGAACAGAAACTGGCCAGGTGAGGATCTGTAAGATGCTACTGGACTTAGCAGACATGCCATCCCGAATCTGGGCAGCCACTCCAACTTCTCTGCATCCACTCACCGGGCTCTGGCTTCTTGTGCTGCTTCCTGGCCACACAGGTACTATCAGCTATTCCGTGCTGTTCCCTCAGTGAGCCAGGTCCCTCTTCTGTTACCCTCACTACGTCAGATCAAGCCTCTCTCATGGCCCAGGACACCAACTGACAGGGAGACACGGGCCTCCATGCCTGTGTGCTGCTCAGACTGGACCGTGAGGCCTGTAGTTTTCCCCAAGGCTGGCTGGAGGGGCTACTCAGTACAACACAGACGTGAGGGGAGTTCATTGACCAGAGGGAGATGGGGAACAGGAGGGAGACAGCAGATAAATTCTGCCTGCCTTCCCTGGAGGGTCTGTGCTGAGCTGCAGATACCACTTCCCACATACTAGAATGGCTAGAATGATTTTTTTAAGGGAGGAAGATATAACAGGTACTGGCAAAGACATGCATAACTGGAAACCTCATACATGCTGGTAGGAATGTAAAATGATTTGGTTGCTCTGGAAAACAGTGTAGTGGTGCCTCAAAAAGTTAAACATATAATCACTGTATGACTCAGTGATTCTAGCCCTAGATATACACCTAAAAGAATTGAAAACAGGCTCTCAAAGACTTGCACACAATTGTTCATAGCAGGACTATTGACAATAGCCAAAAGTTAGAAACAACCCAAATGTCCATTAATGGATGAATAGATACAAATGGTGGTAAATGCATACAGTGGAATATTATTCAGCCATTAAAAGGGAATTAAGTACTGATACATGCTGCAACCTAGATGAACCTCAAAATGATATGCTAAGTGAATGAGGACAGACAGTAAAACATCACATATTGTATGATTATCCAGAATAGGAGATCAATAGAAAACAGATTGGTAGTTAGAGGGAGAAATGGGGAGTAACTATTAATGGTTAGGGGTTTGATTTTGGATTAATGAAAATGTTTTTGAACTAGATAGAGGTGGTGGTCACACAACATTGTGAATGTAGTGAATGGCACTGATATGTTCTTTCTTTTTTTTTGGATAGCCCGTTGATTCAGTGCCATTTATTGAAAATTCCTCCTTTCCCCACTGTCCAATCAGCTTATCACTCTTGTGAGTCACCATTCTGTTCCACTATTTGCCTATCTTTGTTCATTTTTAAATGGTTAATATTATATGAATTTCACCTCAATAAAAATAAAATAATAATTCAGGGCATATCTTGTGGGTCTGAGTTCTTTGTTCTGTTTCATTAATCTATG